ATAAAAGTTTAACAGGGATAAAGTCTTTAGTCTTTGATCAGAAGTGATATGGTCTTAGGTGGAATTTGCTGGAATAGTGTTCTATTGGACAACTTGTTAGACTAGTGGTTATAATCACCATCACCTGTTGATATATATCTATACAACCTAACAAGCCACTAATATTCAGAAGGAGTACGTTGACAGTTTGTTAAATAACTCCTGTTTGCTTTGACATTTGACAGGAAGCTGTACTTCAGGATTTCTCAGACCCATCTAAATAATATACTCAGATGTTAAATACTCCTGGTTTATATATTTCATTGGAGCCATACCAATAAAGCTCTTTTTACCTAATCAGGAATTAACCCTATCAGGTTATGACTACACAAACCGGGCGTTGGTGTTGGAGGGAAGCTCAAAGGATGCAGCTATAGGGAAAAAAAATACTCTATGCTAATCTCTCTCTCTAATTTATGCTTTCATCTTTGAAGTAAATCCATACCCCATAACAGCAGTGTCCATTGAAGCAGGAAGTCAATGGGTGGGGTAAAAGGGTGGGCCACTGACACGAATCACGTGGCCAGAACTGCCAAAAGGGGCAAACATGCCCAAAAAGGGAACATGTCTGTCCAAAGAATTGGAAGGTCAGCCTGCCATCAGTGTCCCTATATATCAAAGTGTCAGTGTCCCCATGTCGCCAGTCCCCTAGTCTCCCAGTGTCTCAGTGTTCTCATTTCTCTCTGTGTCCCCATGTCTCAGTGTTTCCTGTGTCACTAGGATACTAGGGGACACAGTGAGACATGTGGACACAGTGAGACATGTGGACACAGACACCTGGGGACACCGAGACATGGGGACACTAAGACATGGGGACACTGGGAGACATGGGGGCACTTGTGGATACAGACATGGGGACACTGGGAGACATGGGTGCACTTGTGGATACAGACATGTGGACACTGGGAGACATGGGGACACAGACACTAGAGCCACAGAGATATGGGGACACAGACACTGGGAGACATGGGTACACTGAGACACTAGGGACACTGGCTGGGAGGCATGGGGACACTGAGACACTTGGGGATACTGAGACATGGGGGAACTTGTGGACATAGACATGGTGACACTGGGAGACATGGGGACACTGATAAATTTGGGGACACTGGGAGACATGGGGATACTAGGGACACTGGCTGGGAGACATAGGGACACTGAGACACTAGGGACACTGGCTGGGAGACATTTGGACACTGGTAGACAGATTTTTGGGAACACTGGGAGACATGGGGACACAGACACTGGGAGACTAGGGGACACTGGGAGACTAGGGGACACTGGGAGCCGTGGGGACACTGAGACACTAGGGACATTGGCTGGGAGACATCGGGACACTGGGAGACATGGGGACACTGAAAACATTTGGGACACCTGGAGACATAGGGACACTGAGACACTAGGGACACTGGCTGGGAGATATAGGGACACTGGGAGACATGGAGACACTGAGACACTAGGGACACTGGCTGGGAGACATGGGGACACTGAAACTTTTGGGACACTGGGAGACATAGGGACACTGAGACACTAGGGACACTGGCTAGGAGATATAGGGACACTGGGAGACATGGAGACACTGAGACACTAGGGACACTGGCTGGGAGACATGTGGACACTGGGAGACAGATATTTGGGGACACTGGGAGACATGGGGACACAGACACTGGGAGACTAGGGGACACTGGGAGCCGTGGGGACACTGAGACACTAGGGACATTGGCTGTGAGACATGGGGACACTGGGAGACATGGGGACACTGAAAACATTTGGGACACTGGGAGACATAGGGACACTGAGACACTAGGGACACTGGCTGGGAGACATAGAGACACTGAGACACTAGGGACACTGGCTGGGAGACATGTGGACACTGGGAGACAGATATTTGCGCACTCTGGGAGACATGGGGACAATGAGACACTAGGGACATTGGCTGGGAGACATGGGGACACTGGGAGACAGAGAGACACTCTGTCCATGTCCCAATGTGTCTCCCAATGTCCCTATGTCTCACAGCGTCCCCTAGTGTCTCAGTGTCCCCTAGTGTCTCAGTGTCCGCATGTTTCCCTGCTGCCTTTCCCCCCTATCTATCACTTCCCTGAGCTGTAGTCTGTCTCTGCAGGCTGGGAGCTGCTGTCTGAACTCTTTGTGCTGTGTAGCTGCTCCCCCATGGATCAGAGAATAGAGAGAGGCAGGGAGGGATATGCTGTAACTTCCTATACCTGCCTCTCTCCACATTTGGGGAAACTAAGACACTAGGGACACTGAGACATGGGAACACAGACACTGGGAGACTAGGGGACACTGGCTGGGAGGCACTGGGTGACATGAGGGCACTAGAGACACGGAGACATGGGGACACTGAGGCACTAGGGACACTGGCTGGGAGACATGGGGACACTGGCTAGGAGGCACTGGGAGACATGGGGGCACTAGAGACATGGGGACACTGAGACACTAGGGACACTGGCTGGGAGACATGGGGACACTGGGAGCCATGGGGACACAGACACTAGGGACACTGTGAGACATGGAGATACTGTGTCCCAAGATATATGTGTCCGCCTTTGTCTCACAGCATACCCATGTGTCTCAGCTGTCTGGACTCTCTGTGCTGTGTAGCTGCTCCCCCGCGGATCAGTGAGAGAGGCAGGGAGATGCTGTAACTTCCTATCTCTGCCTCTCTCCAAACACAGTGACCCCTACTGGCTGGTGCTGGTATTGCAGAGTAATCTTCGTTTATACTGAGAAAAATATCTGCAGGCAGTCTAAAATACCAGTCAGGTGGCAAACCCAAGAGTAGTGTGTAAAAAAAAAACAAAACATTTTTTTTTTTTTTTAAATGGGCCTATTTCATGGGCCTGGGCCTGGGCCTGGAGCTGCAGCTCCATCAGCCCCTATGTTAATCCGGCCCTGCATATTGCTATATACCTTTTTTATTATTTTTGTTTTCTGTTTAGCTATATATCCTCTATACAATCATTAACTGACTACTACCATTATTTCCAGGCAGGGGAGGTATAGTCACCTTTGGTGTACTTGCATACCTTTTGTATTATTATTTTTACACCAACTGAAATACCCTACGGTGTCGACTCTTAAAAAATATATGGTTTGATGGAGGTAAATTACATTGGCCGGCTTCAAAAATATCCCAAATACGATGTGGGTGCATGATGACCAGCTGTGAAAATTTCAAGTTGAAAAACTGGAATGCGCAACCTCCAAATAAGGTCTTTTAGCCCCTAGAGAACCCAACACACCTATACATGGGGTTGATCACTGTATACGGGAGATGTTGCTGAATACATATTGGGGTGTTCTTTGGCAGTAACCCTTAAAGTTCTCAGTACATGAATTCTTAAATTGCTATGTATGTCAATAAACTCACCAATTATTTTATTTTGACCGACCGTGCACATGGTCCTATGCCCAAAACAGTTCCATGAAATCAGTGCTAACGGTCGGTCAAGTTCGGTAGTTTAAAAATTAACAAATTACCAAACGGAATCCATAGTTCTACCCTGGAGCTTGTTCACCTTGTTCGTGTGAACGTTTTCACCGAACAGTGCCTTTCTAAGTTGTATAGAATCGAACGCAGATGCTGAAGGAAGTCAAGCGGTGTACGGGAGTTTCTGTGTCCGATTTTAGTTCCATGAACTCGACGACCAAAGACCGCTGACTGCCTTCATGCGAACAAGATGGCTGCCACCCCGTGGTTGTTCATATGAATTGCGGCCACCCAGACAAACAATTAGAACACTGCAGTGGAACTAGTAACAATGTGTCAATTGGGCTTAACAAACTCCCAGGTTGTTTCTGGTTTGTGCGGTTGTTCGGTTCCCAAACAATATAATCCTAAATCACGCGAACAGAGTAGTTTGCAGGGTATTTTGTATGGTCCATCACCTGGGGCAGGAGATTGGCTAGGAGGCTTCTCTAGGAACTTGTGGCAAACGACAAGACCACAGGGTTAATTTAGAAAAAAAATAGCAAAGTGCTACTTGTAAATATTGCCCTATAACTTGCAATAAAAATAATAATTAAGAACATGTTATCATTGGCTATTTCTAAACTCAGGACAAAATTTATAAACTATTTATCATGCGTGTTTTGTGGCGGTTGTAGATGCGTAACAGATTTTGGGGGTCAAAGTTAGAAAAAGTGTGGGTTTTTTTACATTATTTCATCATATTTCATAATTTTTTTATAGTAAATTTTATGATATGATGAAAATAATGGTATCTTTTGAAAGACTATTTAATGGTGAGAAAAACAGTATATAATGTGTGTGGGTACAGTAAATGAGTAAGAGGAAAGTTACAGCTAAACACAAACACAGCAAAATGTAAAAACAGCCCTGGTCCTTAACGGTAAAAAAAATTGAAAAGCGGTCTGGTCACTAAAGGGCTAGTAGCTCCCACCTATTGGGGGGAGGGTTATTAATATTATATATTAATAACTCCGTGTGGATTCTATGTTCCACTTAACCCCTTAAGGACACGACATGAGTGACATGTCAAATTTCCTTTTATTCCAAAAGTTTGGTCCTTAAGGGGTTAAAGGGAATCGCCCAGATTTTCATTGTAAAATATAGGCTTCTGATTCTATATGCAAACCCATATTTTCCAGCTCCCAACAAACCTTTATCTGCTGTAATTTAATTGATGTGAACTGAACTGAGAGAAAGCTCAGGTACATATTTGCTCAGTTTCAGAGCTTATTCAATAAATGAGCATTTTGCAGGTGAATGACCAGAGAGCAGCAAGATTATCCCACTGGCTGCATCCCATGATATCTATCAATATAAAACAAACTAAAATACAAATACACTGTCTTATCACTAGTCTTGTGTAAGGATTTCAAAAAGACAGCTGGAAACTACATCCCCCGTAATGCCTTTCCAGTAATATTTCACGGGCTAGGCTCTGACACATGGTAAGAAGGAGGGAGGCTGAGTGATCACTTCCGGGTTGCAAATTTCTTCCTGTCTGGGTTCCACACTAGGAGAAGAGAGGTCACAGCGAGGGCTGTCAGGACAGTGCACACTCATGGTAACTTATTGACTGAGTGCAATGGCCAGCTCCCAGGCAGAGCTCAGCAACCAACAGCAGCAACCACAGCATAGGACTGTGCAGGTATCCCAATATATTCACATTCCAGGACTGTGCAGGTATCACAATATATTCACATTCCAGGACTGTGCAGGTATCTCAATATATTCATATCCCAGGACTGTGCAGGTATCCCAATATATTCATATCCCAGGACTGTGCAGGTATCCCAATATATTCACATCCCAGGACTGTGCAGGTATCCCAATATATTCACATCCCAGGACTGTGCAGGTATCCCAATATATTCATATCCCAGGACTGTGCAGGTATCCCAATATATTCACATCCCAGGACTGTGCAGGTATCCCAATATATTCACATCCCAGGACTGTGCAGGTATCCCAATATATTCACATCCCAGGACTGTGCAGGTATCCCAATATATTCATATCCCAGGACTGTGCAGGTATCCCAATATATTCATATCCCAGGACTGTGCAGGTATCCCAATATATTCACATCCCAGGACTGTGCAGGTATCCCAATATATTCACATCCCAGGACTGTGCAGGTATCCCAATATATTCACATCCCAGGACTGTGCAGGTATCACAATATATTCACATCCCAGGACTGTGCAGGTATCACAATATATTCACATCCCAGGACTGTGCAGGTATCCCAATATATTCATATCCCAGGACTGTGCAGGTATCACAATATATTCATATCCCAGGACTGTGCAGGTATCCCAATATATTCTCATCCCAGGACTGTGCAGGTATCCCAATATATTCATATCCCAGGACTGTGCAGGTATCCCAATATATTCACATCCCAGGACTGTGCAGGTATCCCAATATATTCACATCCCAGGACTGTGCAGGTATCCCAATATATTCACATCCCAGGACTGTGCAGGTATCCCAATATATTCACATCCCAGGACTGTGCAGGTATTATATTCACATCCCAGGACTGTGCAGGTATCCCAATATATTCACATCCCAGGACTGTGCAGGTATCCCAATATATTCATATCCCAGGACTGTGCAGGTATCCCAATATATTCACATCCCAGGACTGTGCAGGTATCCAATATATTCACATCCCAGGACTGTGCAGGTATCCCAATATATTCACATCCCAGGACTGTGCAGGTATCCCAATATATTCACATCCCAGGACTGTGCAGGTATCCCAATATATTCACATCCCATGACTGTGCAGGTATTCCAATATATTCACATCCCAGGACTGTGCAGGTATCCCAATATATTCACATCCCAGGACTGTGCAGGTATCCCAATATATTCACATCCCAGGACTGTGCAGGTATCCCAATATATTCATATCACAGGACTGTGCAGGTATCCCAATATATTCACATCCCAGGACTGTGCAGGTATCCAATATATTCACATCCCAGGACTGTGCAGGTATCCCAATATATTCATATCCCAGGACTGTGCAGGTATCCCAATATATTCACATCCCAGGACTGTGCAGGTATTCCAATATATTCATATCCCAGGACTGTGCAGGCATCCCAATATATTCAAATCCCAGGACTGTGCATGTCCCAATAAATTCATATCACAGGACTGTGCAGGTGTCACAATATATTCATATCACAGGACTGTGCAGGTGTCACAATATATTCATATCCCAGGACTGTGCAGGTATCCCAGGACTGTGCAGGTATCCCAATATATTCATATCCCAGGACTGTGCAGGTATCCCAATATATTCAAATCCCAGGACTGTGCAGGTGTCACAATATATTCTCATCCCAGGACTGTGCAGGTATCACAATATATTCTTATCTCAGGACAGTACAGTTATCCCAGTGGGTGCAGAACATGGGTCTGTCCAGATTCCAAGTTAGGTGCAGTTTTTGTACCAAGTTTCTATTGATAATGTAGTGCCTGATATTATGAATTGGAAATGATCAGGAATTTAGTCTACACACCACCACTTTTTTTTTTTGTATTTCATATAAATTTTTCTTCCATGTTTTACTGAGTAATAATGTAAGAAAAAGTAATGCTCAGATAGTGTAAATCCCCCCCTTTCTACTTTACAGTTTGTGCAACATGTGAGGTACATTAATCAGGAATAGGTGGAATGTATCAGATTTCCTGCAGTCCAGTGTTTTAATGAAATACGTATTGGAGATGTATCAGTTACCAAGTCACTAGTATGACTATTAATATTAATTGAAATGGATCAGAAATGACCTGTACAGGTAGTCATTTTTTCCATATAATCCCTATCTCATAATGGGTAACCTTACAAGGTGTTTTATTTTCTTTCAATGTGTTACAGTGAAATGATCTTACCGGGGTCTAGTTGATGCTTGAAATTATTTAAACTATTCTATCAAGCTGCTGTTTGAGGGGGAAAAAAATAAATCTGAATTCATAGACAATTCCTTACTATTTTTTCAAGGCGCCAGGTGCTGGTTATGTTCCTTCTGAAGAAGAGAGACGTGTATTCAGAGAATGTAACAATGAGAGTTTTTGGTACAGATGTAAGTATTGTAATTTTCTGACGAAATACTAATGATCTTTTCTAGCATGATACATTAACCCAAAAACATTTAGGCCAAGACATCTGTTTTCAGTTTAACTACTTTGTCCCAAAATTTGAAAGTCGCATGATATGCCCACAATTCACACGTGCAAATTTCTGCAGGAAAGCAATTCTTTATTTTTTTGTGTTTTTTTTCTTATTTTGTTTTGAATATTTTTATTGTGTGCACAATATAAAGTCATACATCAAATTGATTTGTAATAAAGCAAGTGATTGCCCACGCAGGGGCTTAAGCATTGGTTTAACACTGCATATACATTTGGTTGCCTGCGTAGAGGCGGATTTGTCCTAGCCTGTGTTTTTTGTTCAAAGTTGGTTGCTTTGTGTTTTATACTCTTATGTACTGTGTTGTCTTTTTAGTTCGGTTATAGCGTTAAGTAAGTGTTTTAAGTTAACTGGTGTGTGCCAGGGCTGCGTGTTTGCTAGTTGGTAAATGCAAATTGTCTCCTGTGCAGAGGCAAATTAATCAGCTTGCTAATTGGAGTCAGACATTAAGCAATAATCTAAGATACAAAAACTTTTTCAACTTTTAGCATAAGGAGCATATTTGTTTTTAGTCTGCTGCATTAATATATAACAAAGCTATTTGGATATCAGGTTTACAGTAATAAGCGACTGTACAGTCTATCATGCCGCAGTCAGCAATTAAGTATGCATCAGTATCTACCTTTGGTTCCTATGGGCATTTTGGTATTAACTGTACATTCCTTTGGTATTTTAAACCTGCATCATATAAACGAAATTGATAAAAACGGAAAAAATGAATGCAGCTGTTAAGACACAAATGCGAGCTATCCATCAACAGGGTGGCTCTGTCCGTCCCCATGTCTGTCTGGGGGAGTCTCTCATGGTGCTGCTTCCACACTGTCCCTGGGGTGCCTGGCCTCCTTCCCTCACCCCCACGCCGATCTCCGCTCACCGGTCGGGTCCCCCACAGTTCCGTGGGCACTCGGGAGCTTAAATTGTCCGTTGGGCCCCACCACATAAGTCCTCCGGCCGTTCGCTCCCTGCACCTCCCCGGCCCCGCTTGGGTTCCTTGAGGAGTGTGTTCCTGCGTCTCACCCGAAGCCGGCCGCATGCTTGGAGCCGTGTCCGCCCCCCACGACCACCGGTCCGTCGAGGGGGGCGGCACAGTCCCGTCTCACCGGGCTCACAGCGCCAGGGACTAGGCTTTCTGGGGACCCCTGACCCAAATGCCCGGGCACACACCTCTCCCGTGGTCGAGGTCATGGCCTGGTGGATCCGTCCGGCACCTGGCCCTGCCAGGGCCCGTGTGACCCGCCCATGTTGGTCCCTTTTGGTGCTTCTCCTGCTGGGGTAAGTCTTCAGGCGGACTGTATTTGTTGCCTTTACCCGTTTAGGCGGGCAGCTTGGATCCCACGCGGTATCTTCCGCCCCGGAGGGTGCCGCTGCCATGTGGCATGGGTTACCCCCCACCCCCAGCCGGATAGGGGAAAAATGGGGGGGGGAGCGGAGCCGAGCCGCCTCTTGCCTTGGAGAATTCTTCCAGGTAGCTGTTGTGGCCGGTATATCATTGCCCCCCGTCTGCCTGTCAGTTCGTGTCGGCGGGGGTCGCCATCTTTCATGTGCGTGATGGTGCAAAGGCCTGCTTGTTTGTTTGCAGTGTTCCTTGCTTGAGATCTGCCTCTGTTTGGGATCCCCAGGAAGCTTGGGTGCTGTTTGTTAAATGTGGATCCGCCAAATCGTTTTCAGGGTGTTGTGGGCGCTTATTTTGCGGGGTTTTTCCGGGCTCAGGCCTGGAGGCATAGTGTGTTGCTGCCTCTCAGTTCGGCGGCCCGGCTCCGCCCCCTCTTTTTCTTATTTTGTATTTTTGCAGTGCATTTGATTTTAACAGACAAGCATGAGGTACCCCAACGGCACTCCTCAAGCATAGTTTCACGTATTACAATTGGGGTAAAGAGATTGCATGCACAGTTTTATAATAGAAAGTAACAAGATTGAACAGTTGAGTCAGGTTAGACATGTTATACGAAGAATAAAAAGAAGGCTGGGTAATCTGACAGGATGGGTATTAAACTCAGAAACGTATAAAGAGCTGCGATCATGTGTATTCAATATGTCTGAGGGGGTGTGGGTGGGTTATCAAATAATGGGTTCGGTGGGGTCGGTTGGTTTGGCTAAGTGAAGCCACCGAGCGCAAGTGATGTGTTGCGGGTTAGTTGTCTCGGTCCAGCAGGGTGCTATTCATAGCGGAGTTAAACTAGGTGGCTCGTGCTGTATAAGGCAGCCGTTTGGGTAATAGCTGTTTCCGTGACATCATGGTCTAGGGCAGGGGTAGGCAACCTTTTAGCAGCACTGTGCCGATATAGGGTTGTGATGTCCCCTAGCGTGCCGGTCCTATTTTATTTTTTTAAGGTGTGTATGCTGCCGTATTCTGTTTGTGTTATTTTTACTGTAATCGCTTTGTATTGTTGTATTTGTGCGTATATGAGCTATTATATTGTATATGTTCATGAGTAGTTTATGGTATTGTGTATGATATATATGAATGTGGGCTGTGCATGGGGGTACCTTGTGGAATTGTGTGTGTGTGTGTGGATGGATATGTCACATTGTGTGTTTGGTAGTGTGTGGGGGCTGTTTGGGGTATTGCATATCAGAGGCTGCATGTGGGGTTGTGTGAATGTATGTGGATTGTTAGTGGTGTTGCGTTTGTGCGGATTGTATGTATGTTTGTGGGTGGCCTGTCCGTATTATTTGTATGAGGAGAGGGTTATTCTGCATTTCTGTGTATATCTAGCAGTGTGAGTGGTTTCCCTGGGTTCCAGTGGGGACCAGGCCAGCCAGGTACAGGTCAAGGACAGGAGCTGCAACAACAACTGTGAGCTTCCCTAATACTGTGTAGATTCCCATTCCAAGTGCTGGAATGAAGTGCTCTGAGATCACTTCCTCTACATTCTGCAATGGATAAATTGAGGATTGTCCTTCACCACCTCTTTGTATTAGCAGATATCTGAAGCATTGAGTGCCGTACAAAGGCACCTCGAGTGTTGTGCATGGCACTAGTGCCGTCGGTTGCCTACCCCTGGTCTAGGGAGTAAAGTGGCTGGTTTAGTAGTGTCATGGGCAGTGGGTTATAAGGGGCAAACTCTGTGTCATATGCAATGTGTAATGGAAAAAAAACCCCCATAAAATAACATGAGTTCTGCATTATCATGGACATCAAGACATACGGAATTAGCGTCCATGTGTGTCTGGGTAGCGTCCCGTTATGCATGTGGTGGAGACCGCCCGCTAGTTGGTCACAGCCACTTCCTCTGTTGGGGTTTGTGTCAGCGGCGCTGGATAGTTGCAAAGGATGGCGGACAGCCAGAGGCAGGCCTGTTGTGCCCTCCAGCTCCGGGCCAGTTGTAAGGCCGGCATTCTGTAACCACGGACTCGGGAACTTCTGGAGACCGGGTCCTTCCCTGTTGGGATCGGTCTGGAAGCCTTGGTGGTGTTGTGCCGCCTGCGGCGGGCGGGCCTCCGCCTGCGTGGTAGATGCTCCGGGGTCACTCCCCTGTTGGCCTTTGGCCCAGATGAGCTAGTGTGGGTAGTTGCAGATTGCTTCTTCAAGATTGTGCCCAAGGGTGTCTCGGCCCCGTTCTGGCTGACGCCACTCTGTCGTCTCTTTGTGCTCCGACTCTCCTGCAGCCGCGTCTGTGTAACTGCGTGTCGGGCCTCAATCCTTGCCCAAAAGGTATCGAACAGCTCGTTTAGGCGGGTGGTCAAGGGCTCAATTGTGCTGAGGCTGTACTCCAAAGGCGCACATATCCCTTTTGGGTTGCATGTCCATCATTTTGGGGTGGCGAATGGCCTGCAAGCTTGGTGCGTGGTTGAGGCTTGTGCCCTTGTTAGGGGTCCACGGAGGCATATGTATTGTAAAGATTGGGACCGGGATAACTCCCACCGGTCCTGAGTACCGCGGATGCTGTGTTCGTTTATGGGCTGGGAGAGCGGCCGTCTCTCCCCTGCTCAGCGTGGTGTAGGCCCCAAGCCTGGGTTCAAGATTTCCAGTGGGCATTCTGGTCATGTGGTGTATCCCCTGGTTCAGCAACTTCTGTGTAGCAAGATTAGGTATGTTGGGGTTCTAGATTAGAAGATTTGCCCACGGTTTTATCTGATAATCAGGCCCAGGCTCGGGAGCTCACGGACAGTGAGTCTGCTCCGCTCCACAGTCAGGCTCCACCCCCTCAGCAATTCTTTATTTTTGTGCGAAGATAGTCTGTTATAGCAGCAATTCTAAAATACTTGCAGTTCATGTTTGTCTGGATTTACCATTGTTCAGGGGTTCCCAAAAGGTAAATCCCAAGATGTATTAAACTCCAACTCCCATGATGCTTTGCATGCCTTTAGAAAAAGAAAGCACCATTGTAGTTGTAGTTTTACAACATCTGGGGATCTACCTTTTGGGAACCCCTGGTTTGGACAGACAGTTGCTGTAAAGCAAATATCTAATGGAATATATTAATGGGGCCATATTCCTCTGGTGGTGGTATATTGGTGAGCCACCACTCATTGCTTATTAAATTACATTTTAGCATAATTAAGGCTAAAATAGTGGAACTGTAACAAAAGCTGGGTTGGATCATTTTTCCTGCTATTTTAGCCTCAATTATGCCAGATTTGATTAACTGACATTTGTTATTTAGTAAACAAACCCTCAATGGCTGTCAGAACTCTTGATGTGAAAAGGCACTGTTCTTGGCGGCTGGTAACACCCATTATGGGGTAGTAAAACCACCATAACCACTACACTATTTTACAGAGACTGTCCAAGAAATGCAACATATTCTCTCTTTTTTGTGTGCCTGCTTTAGTATTGATTCAATACTCTCTGTAAATGTTATGGTATCTTGCAGAAGTGTAAGGAAATTTTTTTTTTATGGTATTCATGCACAATTGAACTCCTAGTTATTTAGTCTGACAAAAAGGCCTATGTGTTTATAGCTCTTATTGACTCTTTAAAATAGAAATACATGCTGGCGCTAAGTAAGTAAAATCCCATCTCAATCTCTTGCCGTGGTGAATTCTGTAATATGTTTTCTGTGTATTCCCACCTTCCTGGTTAGTATAAGACTGGTCCCTCTGACACTGATTAGAGTTAGCTATTCTTCATCTTGCAGCTGGATGTAGATCTCCTGATAACAAGTTCATTAGCATTAAGACAGCTGATCACCTCCCTAAGACGATCTTCACTAATCCGTTGGGTGAAGCATGTCATGTGAGCAACATTAATGCAAAGGAATTATTATAGTTTTGCATATTTTATGTAGCAGGTATGGTGGGTTGGTAGGTATTTTTTGATAACATTATTCTCCTTAGTGTTTGCCGTTTCTGTTTTTTGACTAAACATGTACGATCAAGGCACTGTAAATGTAAGCAATATTTTATCTAATGAGCGTCTATTCCTGTAGTTCTTATCAGGATATTGGTTATCTACTCATGCTTATGCCATTATTATTTTTTTTAATCCCTCACTGTTTGTAAATTGATGGAGGGTTCACTAGCCTCCAGTTACCTGGTGTCAGAGATGTGAAAAATGAGTTTTGGTGTAAGTAGAGGAATCTGTCTATATTTGTGTTTTACTGTCTTAAGTGCTTTCCTCCTATAAGCAATATGATTACTAGAGATTTATGAGTTTAGAGGACCACACTGGACATCAAAACTGCTTCGTGTGAATGAAGTGGTTATGGTGCGCATTCTCTGCTGGCACCTTCTTAACTGTAAGTGTTAAGCCATTTTCGTACAAGTTAAAACAAATATTGTTAGGATACTGCACATAGGAACACTGATCATAAGTGTCTTTTTAAATTTTGTATTTGTTTATTTAAGCATGCCAGCAGTTAGCAATCAAAATACATAAAGGAAAAAGCACTGCAGTAACAATATGGTCACATAGAATACAGCACAAATATAGAGACATTTAGTGTAATTACAGGTGACCCCAACTTCAGGTAGGAGTAAATCAATAAGGCAGTATGCGCAATAAACTAACCATCAGTAAGTTTTTTTGTTTTTGTTTTTTTTTTGTTGGTTTTTTTTATATGAAAAAAAAATAACATGTTGAACAGTAAACGTAGAGAGTGAAAGTAGCCTCTGAACATAATCCTCTTCCACATGCTTTAGACACTTTTCTCTACTGACTTATATGGTCACACCATAGCAACTGTACCGACCATAGGTCGCACCATACCGAACCATGAATAACTACCAAGCTGGTGTGAAATAAATCCGGGAGGAATAAGAGCAATAGAGGAGGGACATAGACAGGAGGAAGAGAAGTTGGGATGCCGGGGAAGGGACGGGAATGAGAAAAGCGGATTAGGTCACCACATAGTGCCAGGTCTAAATTTTGCTGTTTCCACCTAAAGGGGTCAACCTGTCATAAGAGTGTCTTTTGCCAAACCCGTGCACCGTATAGAGAGCCCACGAACCACAATATATCACTATTGATACATGTAGAGATCAACACTTTAGTGGACTCCCCTACTATGCCTCATTACAAATGTGGAAGCATTTGCTTGAGCAGCAGTGATATGCTGAGAGCGTCAGCTGGACACAGTGAGTAGTCCTTCAAAGAAGTAATGGAGCCAAAGGTGAGGAATCTGGATAACCCTTTGGGAGACTCCATTTAAGTATTACACCTTTTGAAAATGCTTTAACACTTAAGGCTAAGAAAGCCCCAGTGGACTGCAGGAACCATAACCATTTTGTTGATGTGAAGTACCCTTGATAATTTATTTTTCTTAGCATCCATTAACTTTAATGGAAGTATCGCGTGACTTCAGCAATTAATCAGGTTGCACATAGTAATGACTAAGAAAAACGAGGGTTGTTGCGTTGCACAAACTTGTTAGGAGCCTGTTAGTGTGTGATGCCACCTGTAAAATTGACATTTTAACAGTGTATTTCCTTTTGTTCCAGCTGTTCCTTTCAGTGCAGTAGGCATGGTTGTAACACAGGGCCTTATCTCCAAAGGTAAAGATTTTATTATTTTCTAAATAGCACAGTAAATTACTTTGAATAACTTTCAGTACGATATTGAAGATGTTTGCATTTATTCTTTGTGTGAGAGTTCTCATGTTGATCCAAGGTGACAGGGGTTCAGTGGTAAGGATGTGAGAATCACAACCATGACTTCATGGCTAAAGTCAAGTGTGTCTCTCTAAACAAATCATATGCATGCAACTATCTGCATGGTGCCGCTATTATTAAAGGGAAACTATAGTACAGGTATCCCAATATATTCATATCCCAGCACTGTGCAGGTATCCCAATATATTCATATCCGAGCACTGTGCAGGTATCACAATATATTCATATCCCAGGACTGTGCAGGTATCCCAAAATATTCACATCCCAGGACTGTGCAGGTATCCCAAAATATTCACATCCCAGGACTGTGCAGGTATCCCAATATATTCACATCCCAGGACTGTGCAGGTATCCCAATATATTCACATCCCAGGACTGTGCAGGTATCCCAATATATTCACATCCCAGGACTGTGCAGGTATCCCAATATATTCACATCCCAGGACTGTGCAGGTATCCCAGTATATTCATATATCAGAACTGTGCAGGTATCCAATATATTCATATCTCAGGACTGTGCATGTATCACAATATATTCACATCCCAGGACTGTGCAGGTATCTCAATATATTCTTATCTCAGGACAGTACAGTTATCCCAGTGGGTGCATGTCTCAAGACTGTGCAGGTATTTCACTGGGTGCATGTCTCAGGGCTGTGCAGGTATCTCAGATATATCTTATATATATTTTGTCATACGAAGTGTATTTATATGTTAATATATACATATATTAATTAAAAAAATATAATTTATATATTAATTAAATTACACACGTGTATATACATAATATGTATAACTATATTGTGTGTGCGTGTGTATGTATATGTGTGTGTGTGTATATGTGTATGTATGTATATGTGTGTGTGTATATATATATATATATATGTGTGTGTGTATATATATATATATATATATGTATATATAATATATAAATCAAAAAAATACCGGCACTCTAGGCTTTCTTCATCCAATTTATTGTATGGTTCCCAAATTGTCAACGTTTCAGCTCCCGATTGGAGCTTTCATCAGGACACATGAAATAACATAACTACACATGACTTACATATATAAGACACATAATTATAATTCACTCACCATGTACAGGTGAAACACATTTCATCAAGTGCCTGGCGTGCACTAAGCGTAAGTGCGCATGTGTATCAGCCTCTAAGCCACCCCCGAGTCAGGAAGTAGCTGTAGCCAATCGCTTAACTGCGGGAACGTCACAGCTCCATGGCAACCGTTTGTAAACATGGTCGCCGCTGTGTAAACAGAAGCCGCAGGGAGATTCTCTCCTTTATCCACGATCGGCTAGCCCCACGTCCGACAACAAGAGTGGTTTATGGGCATTACTATGGCAACAAACCGACATTATATTGCTGGGAAATAAAAATGCCTGGTTATTATTTGCAACAAAATTATATTCCATTAGACAAACATAGTTCCGTGATTTTTATACTGAAGCTTATATCTCTATTCTAATCCATGGTCTAAAACCCAAATTAAACCACAAAACGTGATGATGTGCATAATTGTGAAAACATAAGTATGTACAAGACATGTAAGATAAACATTACATGAAGGAATAATGTAAGTGACTTAAAAAGAGTTATGTTTATATGTCAATTAATAAGTGTTATTTACATAATTGTAATCAAATGGTGTGAAATGTGCCAAACAAATTTCTGAAAGCTACAAGGTGCTAAAATGTGCAAAAATATAATAATAAGGTGTTGATTAAGTACTATTAACTCTTGACATTCCTGTCCAATATGTGTATCTCTACATAATAAAGTATAGGCTAGGTTAGGCCCGGAACTTAATAATAAAAAAAAAATTTTGAAAAAGGAAAAAGTAGTTGCTACATTGCTATTATCTCCAAAAAATATTTGTTGCACCGGCTATTGATGAAAGAACACCTGACCATAAGGTGAGGAATATATGGATTATTATCAGATACATAAATTCAACAATATATCTAAAAGATTAAAAAAATCACTTTGTTAGGTTAAGGGTTATAAATCTCCAGTTTATATATAGAGATATTTTTTATAAGAATGGGATAAAAGAACATTTTTCATTTAAACCTTTTGGAGACAATGTGCCCAATTCTAGTATCCAGAAAGTCTCTCTCTGTAACAAGAGCTTAGCTCGGTTTCCCCCTCTAGGTGCCACGGGCACATGATCAATTGCTACACATCGTAGAGTAGAGAGTTGATGTTGTTTCTCTAGAAAATGTCGGGCCACAGGTTTGTCCGATTTGCCATCTCGATAGGCCAAACGGATACTTGACCTGTGGCCTCTAATTCTCTCGCATAGAGCTGTCTCAGTTTTGACAATATAACTCAATCCACACTGGTACATTAGTTTATATATGACAAACTCTGTGTGGCAATGTATTCTATGGGCAATCTTATAGATCTTTCCGGTGTGGGGATGAGAGAAAGTCTTAGAGGGAATAAGATGTCCACAGGTTACACACCCTAAACATCTCTCACAACCATTAATCTTCTCCATTGTGGGTGGTTTATAACAGTGGATAGGATCCGTTTTTAACAACAAGTCCCTTAAGTTCTTATTTCTTTTATAACAAAACATAGGTCTGTCTGTTAACTCTTTGGGGAGCGTTGGATCTTGCTTAAGAATATTCCAGTTTCGAGTAATAGACTCAGTTATCTGTTTGCTAGCAGAGTGTAACTTCATTGGGAATACTGTTCTCATTTGTAATTCCTTTAGGGGTACTATCCCTCCTAAATATTGTTCTCTGGCTTTAAGAAGAGCTTTATCTAATAACGGTCGTTTGTATCCTCTTTTTATGAATTTCAAATACATAGTTCTTAATTGTATCTCGCATTGTTCTTCCTGGGAATTGTTCCGATACACCCTCAGGAATTGCGATAGAGGTAGTGAGTTCTTCAAATGCTGTGGATGAAAACTTCCGGAGTGTAAGATGGTGTTTTGATCAGTAGGTTTGGTGTATAACCTATACTCCAATTTTTTATTAATAACTGTCAGCTCGACATCAAGGAATTGGACATTTTATGAATCAATTTTGGAGGTCACTTTGATGGGAGTAGGTAACTCATTAATATATTCAACGAATGCTACTGCTTCTGTATGTGTTCCTCTCCAAAGGATCAGAATGTCATCTATGAACCGATAGTATCTTACTATTTGTTCTTGATATCTTGTTATAATGTATTCTTGTTCGAAATCGAACATGAAAGTATTTGCATACATGGGGGCCATCGCTGCCCCCATGGAAGTTCCAGAAATCTGTAGAAACCATTTTGTTTCAAATCGAAAGTAATTGTACTTTAGAGCTAATTTGTTTGGCACATTTCACACCATTTGATTACAATTATGTAAATAAACACATATAGTGTTAAATAACACTTATTAATTGACATATAAACATAACTCTTTTTGAGTCACTTACATTATTCCTTCATTTAATGTTTATCTTACATGTCTTGTACATACTTATGTTTTCACAATTATGCACATCATCACGTTTTGTGGTTTAATTTGGGTTTTAGTCCATGGATTAGAATAGAGATATCAGCTTCAGTATAAAAATCACGGAACTATGTTTGTCTAATGGAATATAATTTTGTTGCAAATAATAACCAGGCATTTTTATTTCCCAGCAATATAATGTCGGTTTGTTGCCATAGTAATGCCAATAAACCACTCTTGTTGTCGGACGTGGGGCTAGCCGATCGTGGATAAAGGAGAGAATCTCCCTGCGGCTTCTGTTTACACAGCGGCGACCATGTTTACAAACGGTTGCCATGGAGCTGTGACGTTCCCGCAGTTAAGCGATTGGCTACAGCTACTTCCTGACTCGGGGGTGGCTTAGAGGCTGATACACATGCGCACTTACGCTTAGTGCACGCCAGGCACTTGATGAAATGTTTTACCTGTACATGGTGAGTGAATTATAATTGTGTCTTATATATGTATGTCATGTGTAGTTATGTTATTTCATGTGTCCTGATGAAAGCTCCGATCGGGAGCTGAAACGTTGACAATTTGGGAACCATACAATAAATTGGATGAAGAAAGCCTAGAGTGCTGGTATTTTTTTGATTTTTCTGTATTTATCTGACTTGGCACCGGGTATTGAATTATTTAGTTGGAGTGCAGGAGTTTGTTTTCATTATATATATATATATATATATATATATATATATATATATATATATATATATATATATATATATATATATATATATATATATATATATAATAAAAATGTAAAAATAATATATGTAATTTTATTCAAACTGTATTTTGATATTAATATATATATTTCTATCAAAATGCACTTATATATAAAGAAAGGATACCGGCACTCAAGGAATTTCAGATGCACATTGAAAAGTAAACTTTTGAAATTCCTTGAGTGCCGGTATCCTTTCTTTATCTACATCTGAGCCACCAGAGCACCAGGTACTGTTTTTTTTTTATAAGTTGGAGTGCAAGGGCCCTTTGTATTTTTGTGTATGTATGTGTGTGTGTGTGTGTGTGTGTGTGTGTGTGTGTATGTATGTATGTATGTGTATATATATATGTATATATATATATATATATATATATATATATGTATGTGTGTGTGTGTGTGTGTGTGTATATATATATATATATATATATATATATATATATATATATATATATATATATATATATATATATATATATATATATATATATATATATATATGTTATTATTTATATAGCGCCAACAAATTCCGCAGCACTTTACAGTGGGTGGACGAACAAACATGTAGTTGTAACCAGACAAGTTGGACAGTCATGAACAGAGGGGTTGAGGGCCCTGCTCAATGAGCTTACATGCTAGAGGGAGTGGGGTAAAGTGACACAAAAGGTAAGGATAGTATTAGACTAATGACAGTTGCAAGAGAGGAATCAGTTGGGAGCTATTTAGTTGATACGCTTTTATGAAGAAGTGGGTTTTTAATGATTTTTTTTGAAGGAGTGGAGACTGGGTGAGCATCTAACGGAAGAGGAAAGTGAGTTCCACAGGAACGGTGCAGCCCTTGAGAAGTCTTGAAGGCAAGCATCAGAGGTGGGAGTATGGACAGAAGGTAGACGTAAGTCTTCAGCAGAGTGTAAGGGCCTAGACGGGACATACTTGTGTATTAGTGAGGATAGATAGGTGGGAGCAGCATTATGTAGAGATTTGAAAGCAAGAACCAGAATTTTAAATTGAGCCCTATATCTTACAGGAAGCCAATGTAGGGACTGACAGAAGGGTGAGGCGTGGGCAGTGCAGGCGGTATACGAATTATCATTAAAGGACCACTATAGTGCCAGGAAAACATACTCGTTTTCCTGGCACTATAGTGCCCTGAGGGTGCCACCACCCTCAGGGTCCCACTCCCGCCCGGCTCTGGAAGGGGGAAAGGGGGTAAAACTTACCTTTTTCCAGCGCTGGGCGGGGAGCTCTCTGCCTCCTCTTCTCCTCCGATCCTCCCCGCCGGCTGAATGCGCACGCGCGGCAAGAGCTGCGCGCGCATTCAGCCGGTCACATAGGAAAGCATTTACAATGCTTTCCTATGGACGCTGGCGTGCTCTCACTGTGAAAATCACAGTGAGAAGCACGCAAGCGCCTCTAGTGGCTGTCAATGAGACAGCCACTAGAGGAAATAGGGGGAAGGCTTAACCCATTCATAAACATAGCAGTTTCTCAGAAACTGCTATGTTTATTAAAAAATGGGTTAACCCTAGCTGGACCTGGCACCCTGACCACCTCATTAAGCTGAAGTGGTCTGGGTGCCTAGAGTGGTCCTTTAATTATCATTCGGTATACGAACAACATAAGTCTAATCTGTTTCCCCTCTGAACCATAGAGGGGAAAAGGCACGAACAAAGCCTTTCCACAGTCCTGAACCAAGGTCTAATACATGGGCCATAGGCCTGGGGCAGGAGGATGGCAAGCAGGCCCTTCGAAGAACCAGTGGCGAGGTTATTTTTGCCACAAACCATTTGTAACATATTAATGCCAAATGAGGCTCCAGCAACACATCCACTCTGTGCTGCTTGGGCGGTTCTGATTGGGTGAGAGTGTCTGCTAACTGCATTTAGTCTATCACAGTGTCGTTGCAGGTATGAATCGGTAAGGCTACAAGCAAGTGCGTTAGCCATACCTTCAGTAGGGGCCAGATTATTGGAACCCAGGGACCCTTATTCAGTGTCAAACTGCTTGAAAAAGGACAGTGCCAGGGGACTCCAGCATTATACTGAATTCAATTAGATGAAATTGTTATAGTGCCTACAGTGTCCCTTTAAGCTAAAGTTGTTTTAGTGGTACCATACATTCACTTGTATGTATTCTCGGCATTAATACTAAATTAACAATGTCTTGCTATAAATGTTTAATTTTGGAATTCTGCATAGTATATGGCATTGGAACCTTTAACGGAAGGCAGGCGTTCTGACTAACATTGTATGATTAAGACTCTATTTTATATACATGTACACAGCTTGGGGGGCTGGAGGAATGAGACACATGGTTGGGGGCTGGGGCATGAAACGCCTGGGGGCATGGAGGGAATGAGACATGTGGTTGAGTGCTGGGGAAATGAGACACATGGGTGCACCAAGGGTATGAGACACATGGGGGAGTGAATGAAACAATATGAAGGAGAGACTGGGGGTGAATGAAACCCATAAAGGAGGGGATGAGGGTGAATGAGGCACATGGTGGCCTGCTGGGGAATAAGGCACATGGGGGGGATTTAGGGGGAATGAGACACATGGGTGTGACTGGGGGAATAAGACACCATTTTCCAAAGCATTGTTTTGTATCATGCTTACACATGTTTGCCTAATCTGTTTATTATAAAAAATGAGGCTGCCTATGCAGGAGTATACTCAAACTACTGCTTTAGTGGCATATGTACTTTTGATATGATGCCTTTTTTCTGTTTTTTACTTTGTATTAATTGTACAAAAAATGAAAATCAAGAGAACAAAATTAATAAGTGAGAAGAAAATCAATAAAAATTAATTTAATATAAAGTCAATTTTTTTCACTCTTTTTTTCTTTTTTTGCATGAAGACAATGCCTCAATAGTGATGTCCCGAATGGTTCGCCACGGACGGCGAACATAAACGTAAACATAACATAAACGTAAACTTTGACCCTGTACCTCACAGTCAGCAGACACATTCCAGCCAATCAGCAGTAGACCCTCCCTCCCAGACCCTCCCACCTCCTGGACAGCTCACTAAGAATGCAGCTTCACAATGAATGTAAAATGAATGCTGTCCAGTAGGTGGGATGGTCTGGGAGGGAGGGTCTGCTGCTGATTGGCTGGAATGTGTCTGCTGACTGTGAGGTACATGGTCAAAGTTTATGTTTATGTTCGCCGTCCGCGGCAAACCGTTCGGGACATCACTATGCCTCAATAAAAGAAAGATTGACAAAAAAACAACAAAATCCATTTTTTTTTATTGATTTTGTTCTCTTGATTTCTGCTTTTTGTATAATTAATAATAATAATTTAAATATTTGGTTCTCTTGAACACTTCAATAAGTTTAATTGCGGCTCTTGAATATTAATTTTGTTTTTTACATGAGGCTCTTACAGGCATGAAGTTTTGCCAACCCTGCTATATACTGTAGCCACTAACAAGTCCTTTCGTATTTCCTTTCAGGATTTCTTACCGCATCTGCAAGATTTGGCTCTGTCCCAAAAGTTATATGTAAGTGGATTCTCTGTCCTAGTTCTCGGTGTTAACTCTGTTAGAAACAATATGTAATGCTGCCATCACTGTCTCTAAAGACCATATACCAGCATGGAGCGTCTGGCTTATTTAGTATTGCCTGCAGCCTTTAAATGGGTGGGCCATCACTAATTTAATTATGTTTTTGAAGGGGCTATTGTGTTATGATGGAATTATTTCATCCATCATTTTTCCATAAGGGGTTAAAGAAGGCCTCTAAGTAACCATACCCACTACTGTGCAATTTAGTGAATAGTGCAATGAGTCCCTTGCCACTATCCAGTGGTTAAAAGTTTAAAACATTTTAGATTGGCTTGAGACATACCTGGGACCACTAGGTGCCTCCCTGACCCTTCTTGACAAATATTGGTTGCGTGGAAGCTCCCCTTCTCCTTTAGCAGTATCAGTTTTGTCCAGCATTGGACTAGATGAGCTGACGAGTGGTCTAAGGACGACTAAGTCTATGAATTAAATGTGGACTGAATTGTGAAAATGTTTTTTTTTTGCAAATCTTTTTATTGTAGAGAAGGCAATAAGAAAATGAGGCTTGCAGGCCTCCATGGGAAACATTGTGGAAAGATGTAGCACAAAGCATTTGTCATTCCATTTTAGAATACAACTTAACAGACTTTGAAACAGTGTTTAGCTACAATGTTATTGTACAGGCATGGTATAGTTGCAGTGTATACAGGTTTGATTTGAGGGCATTTTCACAGTGGTCACTCTCAGTCTATAACTGGGCATGTATACACGATTTTCGTTCCATGCTCGGTGCGTGTCATCCTGCATGTGTATTTACCGCTTCCTTCCACCAAGTATGGAGCTTATTTTTTCCCAGATCAGGGATGGGTTTAACAAAGAGGGGTAAAAGTTGTTTGAAAAGGAAAGAAGAGGAGAGGGTCCATAGGTACAGGAGAGGCTTCCCCTGGTCTCCATGTCACCAGATCTGAGCAAGATGTGGGCAATATGTTGGTACAAAGTGTTTGGGAATTATTTGGTTCTGGTAATGCATTGTGTGGCGTGTACCCTGGTGTGTGCAGGTTAATCTGTGTCCGTGTAACCGTCGGTTGCTGTGAGAATGTCTGGACGTTGACCTAATGAGCTTTCTTGGACCTTCCTTCCCAGGGACCGGTCCATAGAGTTGGTTGAGTAATCTTCTGGTCGCCCGCCCGTGTGTTGTATCCCATAGTCTATTTTGGGGGGCGTGTGGTGAGTGTTAGCAGGTCATGTGAAAGGTGCGAGAGGTTGCGAAATAAGTGTGCCGTCGGTCGTCCAATGTTTGCGTGTGGGTGCGCGGTGTGATGAATGGTCTGTCTGGAGGTTGTGTTTTTCTATGGGCGGTCTCACCTGCAGAGGAGAGGCGTCCTAAGAGAGGTGTACGGTCAGTATAGTGGCAAGTTGAGTCCGGGGTGCGCCGCCTGGCTCCCCGTCCCCGAGGCGCACGGTGAGAGTCCGCTATCTACCCGCCTGGTACGAGAACCAGGGTCGCCATGTCTCCACGTGCCTGTTGAGCGTCCTGTCAGGGATGCCTGCAGCGCCTCCGCCTCCTGTATGTCTCCGACCCTGTGGAGCCATTCCTCCTTTGTGGGGATCTCTGATCTCTTCCAGTAGACTGGAATGAGGGATTTGGCCACATTCAATAAGTGGCGTAGAATTAGAGATGGAATGTGATGTGATATGCAGCAGAGCTAATTCTCTTGACCATTCCGTGTCATCTCCCAGAATTGCCCCAATTTCTGAGTGGATCTGATCCCAATACGGGATGATGGCTCGCATTCCCACCACAGGTGTAGCAGGGTACCCCTCTCTTCTTGATATCTCCAGCATGTTGGGGAAGTCGTCGGGAAGACCTTCTGCAGCATTACCGGTGTCCTATACCACGTGGATATCAATTTATAGTTTACCTCTTTATAGTAGGAGCTAGAGGAGGTTTTATGTTGCCAAAGTAGGGCTGTTCCCCATTGTGTTGGTGTGAGTGGTCTGTCCAATTGCCGTTCTCATATTCTTTGGGAGGTATTATTATCCGAGGTGGCCCCCACTAGCAGATGCTGATAGAGCGTGGATACTGCTTTGTTGAGTGTGGCACCTCGGTAGCATAATTCTTCGAACCACGTAAGGTCTTTGTGTAGTAGATTTCTGTGAGGGAGAGAATCGTAGTAATGTTTCAGCTGTAGATATTTGAGGGTCATTAAGTGCGTCTTCGGTCTTTTCGCCAGCAGTGAGTCTAAGGACCATACGGTTCCCCCTTCCAGAATTGTGCGGAACGGGACATATTCCCTCTCCCCCAGGAAAGCCCAGGCTCCAGATGGGAGGCCCCCTCCAATATTGGGATTGTAGGTGACTGGGAGCAAGGGAATAAGGATTGGGGAGATATGCACCACTCTCCTAGTCGATTCCCAGGTCTTCAACGTCTGTGCCACCGGGTTCCCGTCCTCCTCCTTCCCACAGCGTCCCCCCTGCCATACATCAGCCTTGAGTTTGGCCCCTGATTCTCCTCTGTATAGGGTCACCCATTGTTTCGGGTCTTCCGCTGTGTGCCACTCCAGTATACGTTGCATTGTGGTAGCTTGGTGGTACTTTTTAAAATCCGGGAGTGACAGGCCTCCTCTGGGTCTTGGTAAGCATAACGTCTCGTGACGCAGTCGGGATCTCTCCCCTCTCCATACATATCGGATGACCGCCGATTTCAGGGCGGGAAAAAAAAGGCTGCCGGAAGCACCATCGGGATGGTTTGAAACAGGTATAGGATCCTCGGCAGCACGTTCATCTTAAGAACCGCTATCCGGCCATGCCATGTAATATGCAGGTATGCCCAGCGTTCAAGGTCCGATGTTATTTTTTGCAAGATGGTGGCAAAATTGTGTTGATAAATATCTTGTGGGTTGGTGGTTATCCATATGCCCAGATATTTCATCTTCCCTTCGCACCAGTGGAATGGAAAGGCAGTGCTTAGTTCAGCATATTCATTCGGAGGGAAGGTGACGTTGAGAACCTCACATTTAGTCAGGTTAAGTTTGAATTCTGAGATCCTTCCAAAGCATTCAAGTTCTAAGAGCAGGCAGGGCATTGTGATTCGTGGGTTAGAAATGAAGAATAGGAGGTCGTCCGCGTATGCGGCCACCTTATGTTCCGATCCTTTCCAGGTGTAGCCATAGAGTTCAGGGTTCTGTCGCACTGCCTGTAGAAGTGGTTCCAAAGACATCGCGAACAAGAGGGAGGACAGTGGGCACGCCTGTCTAGTCCCGCTGTTATTTTCGAAGCTGATGGTTAGTGCTCCGTTCACTCTGACCGCTGCACGACGTTTATCGTATAAGGCAGATATCCACAGCATCATATTATGGCCCATTCCCATAGCCTTAAGCGTGTTCATCATATACGGCCAATTGATCCGGTCAAAGGCCTTTTCGGCATCCGTGGATAGCAACGGAGAGGCGTTCTCGAGATTTCCGTGCTCGGTTTTGTATGGAAAAGAGGCGTAGCGTGTTGTCTCGCGCTTCCCATCCAGGGATAAACCCAGTCTGATCTGCGTGGATTATACTTGGTAGTACGCAGTGTAGTCTGGTCGCCAGCACTTTTGTGAGAAGTTTCGTATCCACGTTTAGTAGGGAAATTGGCCGATAACTACTGCAGTTCTCGGGGTCCTTCCCGGGTTTGAGCAGGACTGTGATCGTGGCTGCCAGTGATTCTGCGCCAAAGCGTCCTCCCTCCGTGCTGGTGTTAATTGCTTTCGTCAGCCAGGGTAGGAGTATTGTGGAAAAGTGTTTGTACTACCCCATAGAAAATCCGTCCAGACCCGGTGCTTTACGTACCCTTTTATTCTTCAGGGCTGCCACTATCTCCTCCCTGCTGATCGGTTTGTCCAGTACGGTCGTCGTGGCCGGGTTCACCCGTTTGTGTACATTATCGGGTAAGAAGTTCTGGATGAGCGTGGGGATGGTATGCCCAGGCATTGTCCCATCTTGAGCGGGGATATTGTATAGGGTGTGGTAACATTGATAGAATTCGTTCGCAATATCTTCTGGGAACGAGGACATGGCCCCCGAGGAGAGGCGGATTTTATGTACCCTTGTACGTGGAGTGTCACCTTTCAGGAGGTGGGCCAGGAATTTGCCGCCTTTGTTTGCGTGGGTATAAAAGAAATTGTTTGAATATTGTAAGGAGCGATGGTATCTACGCGTGATACGGTCCCTAAGCCGGCGCCGGGCGTCCGTCAATTCCTTTTGTGTATCAGCGTGTTGGGTCCATTTGTGTTGGAATTCCAGCCTCGAGATGGCCCCGTATATTTCAGCCAGCTCCTGCATGGTCGCCTTCCTCTTGCGGGAGGCTATTCTTATAAGCGTGCCTCGGATGACGCTTTTATGTGCTTCCCAGATAGTTATTGGCGGCGTATCTACCACGTAGTTTTCCCGAAAATATAGATCCAAGGCTTGTGTAACTTTCCCGGCCACCGCAGGTTCCTGGAGCAGGGACTCATTCAGTCGCCAGGTCCAGTGTGCTGGTTTAAACAATGGAGACTCCAGTTCCACCATCACAGGGCCGTGATCCGACCAAGTGGCGGGGCCTATGGTAGCCGCTCGGAGGAGCGACAGGCCCTCCTGTTGGAGCAGTATGGAGTGCCGAATTGTGGGTGTAATCCCATGCGGAGAACCCGGCGTCAGTTCCCCCGATCCCCCCTCCATAGCTAGAAGTAGGGTCCCTTCCTAGTGCAGTCCACTAGGTGTTAGTGCTCGGTGCAGCAACAGGAGCGGAGGGCCAGGCGGACGGCCCCAGCAGGGAGGTGGAGTTACTGTCGTGTGGGCTGATGTGTACAGATACGTCCCTCTCCCCCCTTAGTCCTGCAGGGTGTGTTTGGTCAAGTGACCCCTACTGTTACCGCCACAATAGGTGGTGGGTGCGGTCAGTGTGATGAGGGCGTGAAGTACGACTGTAGTGTAAATCTGTATCAGAGCCAGGGGAAGTTTACCAGGACAATTTGAGGAGTAGTGGGTAGGGTGAGTGAAGGAGGATAGAGGGGGGGAGGGGAAAGGGGGAGAGAGACAAGGCCCCCAAGTAGAGGTGTCTCCTATAAGGGGATGAGAAAAGGGAGTTCACCTCGATGGTGCAAGGAGGCAGTAGTCGTGCGACAGCCGGAGTTGCCAGAGGCCACCCCAGTAACCAGACCGAGATGTGGACCTCCAGGGGCTCCATCGTCAAGGAAAATGCACGACCCCTAGTTGGAGTCAATGGCTCCGCTCCACTCCGGTATGGATATAAAAGACAGGTGTGGTGTCAGTATACTACTTGCTGGAACCACAGCCTAGTGGTATATTAGGTACATAGTATATAGGACGCCACTTAACGAGAGTAACATGAAATAACATAAATTAACAGTGCAACATTAGGAGTGTGATATCAGCCTGGAGACTTATAAACCTTAGATAAATGGCCTATCCCTCCCGTCAGCTTAATCTTCGTCCTCCCCCAACCCCCCAGAGCCCCAAGGCACCCCTTTTGTGTGTGGGACAACCGTAAAAGGCCTGCTCATTTCCTTCCGCCCCCTCATAAAGGGGGAGGTCAGACCCGTCCGCCAGGTTTATGCATATGTAAGCTGAAGCTCCTGTCTCCCCTTCAGATCCCCACCCTCACCCCTATCCTGGACGACTGCCCCATAATGTTGGTAGTGGAAACTAATGTGCTCCTCTCCCCTCGCCTGAGCTGTTGTCCCCCTCAGAGGCCATCTCCCCCCACCCCCCCCTGGTGGGGAAATTATGATGCGAGGCTGAGTAGCCTATCACCCCCAGCTATGAGCTAAGAGGTATCATGTTTAATACATGAGGTGTGTATAACAATTATGTGTGACGTGAAATATGAATGCGGTACATTATGTGCAACAATCATTAATGTTGTATAAGGCATAGTTGCTAAGCGAGGTATGCAAGCAGTGGTTGGTGCTGACGGGCACTGCCCTGTTCCGTAAGTCTAGACCATAGGTCTTCCAGGGTGTTGGTTCGGGGCTGCAACATCAATGTCCTTCCGCTCCCTGCCTCATCTCATGTGGAGGCGTCCCCTATTGTAGTTGGTAATAGATTTGTGCCATAAGGCCAATTTCAGGGCCCATCAAAAGCAAGAATAATTCCCTGCAGCAAACCCCCCTCCCTCCAAATCAATCTGCAGAGCAATCTGTTGTGCCAGCCCTTATGTCGGTGGATCCCTCTCCGGGAGTCCCGTATAACAAATGTGAGACCCCAAGCTCCTTGGGGGCAAGGGGTGCAGAACAGCCCAAACCCATCGTCCCGGCAGCGGAAAGGGATCACACGGTGGGAAAAAACAGGGAGGTATCCTCCCAGCATCACGGTCCAGGAGGTGGGTCAGTGAGACAGCGGTACCAGTCACAGTGTCCGTGTAGGGTAGGGAGTCCCCGCATCCAAAGGGGCCATGAGGGGAGAGTGATGAAAAGAGGTCCTGCATATTACTCCGGTGCCTCTGGGTTGTTGCGTCTACGGGGAGCCAGGCCTCGTGGCAGGTCATCTTCTTGCCTCCTGGGTGCCCGCTGCTGGCGGGGTTCCCCCCCCCAACTCCAGTGGGCCCAGGACCCAATCCGGGACGGATATCGGCAGCAAGTCCAGCTCTTCCAGGAACCTTGGAATCTCCTCGGGCCAGCGGACCGATGTCCAGCCATTCTGGTGGCGAGCTAATAGGGCCATTCTGGTGGCGAGCTAAAAGGGAAAGCCCCATCTATAAGGTATGTTCCACTCCTGTAGGGCCGCGGATATAGATTTCAGTGCTTTTCTTGCCTCCAGTGTAATGGGTGAGAGGTCGTTGAATAGGGAGACCGCCGCTCCCCTGTAATCCCAGGTCGGTCGGGAGCAGGACGCCCTCATGATGGCGTCTTTATCCTGGTAAGAGTGGAGACAACATATCAAGTACCATGGACTATCCTGTAAAGACTGAGGGCGCAGGGCTCTGTGTGCCTGTTTGAACCTAAGGGTTTGGGGTGCCGCCTCTCCCAGTATCAGGCGGAAAACAGGCCAGTGAGAGTGTCCTCTGCATTCTCTCCCAATCTGTTTCAGGGACCCCACGGACTCTGATATTACATCTGAGCCCCCTGTTATCCAGGTCCTCTACTGTCAGTCTCATGTGTAGTAGCATCTCACCTTGGCATGCAAGGGCCGTATCGGTTGACGATTGCCTCGTGGTGTAGGCCTCGTGGGAGCGTTCCAAATCACCTCCGTCCGAATGCCCACCATATCAGCTCGCAGTGCATCCTGTATGGTGGTGGTAAGGACCAGGAGGTCTGCTTTTGTAGCCATAGCAGCAGCCATAGTGCGGAGTTTATCCCCAATCCTCTCCAGTGCGGCGCCATGCGGTTCCCTGGGGGATGGGGCCGTCAGCGCCATGTTGGAGCCACTTGCCTCCCCAATCGTGTCGGATTTAGACTGGAGGAATCCGTCCATCGGGCCGTGTTGGTGACCCAGCTGGGACCCCCTCGGGGTCTGGGGGGTATCTGTGTGTCGGTGGAGTCCCATAAAGGCAGTTATTTGCTTATTATTAGGCTGATTTGGGCACTGGTGGAGCGGAGCTCACGGTCTATGCGTCCACCCCGGTCAGAGCTCAAGCCACGCCCCTGAATAGTGAAAATGTTAATGCATGAGTAGGCACATAGGTTTTATCAATATCTATGAAGAGTGTCCTGAAAATAGATTGACTTGTAACAGTGAAACCACACTAAGAGTATATATTTTTTAAACAATTTGTAGGACAAACTTTTCATGTGCTTCAAACTGACTATGGCACAGCCATGTTTTGTACAGATGACTATAAAGTTGTGCTGTCTTTCTATTTGAAAGTTACTGTTGCTTGTTTTGTTTTTGTTTTTTGATTTTGAATTGTTTTCGTGTGAGTGATTATGTTGTATTTGTTTCCTGAAGTTGCTGGTATGTGTGGATACCTAGCAGGAAAGATTTCATATATGAAAGTATGTCAAGAAAAATTCAAGAAACTTGAAAATTCGCCACTAGGAGAAGCACTTCGCAAAGGGCACAGCCCTTCATCACTACAGTAAGAGAACCTTAATTATCTATACTTATTAATGTGTAGCTATCTACTGTAGGCGAGAATTTAAATGTCTGTTTACTGCCATATCTGAGCAACCAAAATCATCAGATTCTAGAAGCTTAATGTTTTTTAGCTTCATCATAGAGATTGTTGTAATGTAAAAAGTAGCTAAGTTGAAAAAAGAAAACCAGTCTGAAAAACTGTATAGAAGATCACAAGACTATGGTCCCACTTTGGTATTCACAGTGCCATTAAGAAAGTGGCTGAGATCCCTCTGCCAAATCTGGCTTTTTTCTAGCTGTCTGAGGGAAAATTACTGACTAGGTTTGTATTTATGAAATCATGCAAGCTTACTAGTTCTCCTTTTAACTTCTCATTCTAGTGCAATACCAAAGAAGGTGGACAGAAGGGAAACTATTGTCCCATAGTAACAAATGCTATTTTTGAGCCTCTAGGTTCCCTTTAGGCAATTTATTTGTTAGAGGAGTGTCCATTGGATCTTATTATTTACAGTCAATCCTAAAACAACGAATCTGTTAGGCAGAGAATGCATTTGAGATATAAAATGGTTTATACTAGATGCACTGGAAGGGCCCATTGTTTGCACTGTAAATGTTTCTGTCCCTTATGACTGTTTGCCATGGTGATGTCATTTCATGTGTGACCTTTGTTGCATAGCAATTAGAACACAAAACATGAAAATGTCCTGCCTCAAAGGAGACCTTCTTCCTTTATTTTTGTCAATGTTACAAAGCTAGAGTACATCTCTCTTGTTCTTGTACAAAACAAATGATGTCATAATTCAACCATAGAGCCTATTAATATTGGTAGAATTAATTTAATTGTTTTTGTGAGAGGTTTGGACAGCAAATCAAAAGAGAGAAAATACTATTCTGTAATGGGGGAAATGGATTTTGTAACAAAAGCAAAGAGAAGGGGCATATATAAAGGGGAGAAGGAGGACACTATAGTCACCAGAACAACTACAGCTTATTGTATTTTGTTCTGGTAAGTAGAATCACTCCCTTTAAGCTTTTTTGCAGTTAACACTGTTTGGCATGTGCTGGCTCTGCTCCTGATCTGCCTTCTTGACAATCTCATCCAATCTTATGGGAAAGCATTGTGATAGGCTGGGAGAATCACTTCTGATGTCAGCCAAGCAGGCAGATCAGGGGCAGAGGCAGCAGCTTCAGACTTGGCTAAAAGTAAGATTTTACTATATTTAGGGGGGTAAGGGTGAGCTAGAAGGTAGTTTTAACACTATAGGGTCAGGAATACATATTTGTGTTCCTGACCATCTAGTGTTCCTTTAACATATATAAAGCACCCATGTTTGAGGGAATGATGGACAATTTCAATGAGTTTGGGTAGTTAGATGTGACTTGTAGAGGTCCCTCTGTTTATTGGTTCCGTATTACCCGGTAACCATTGTTGGAGTCCTAAAGGCAGCATTTCAGTGACTTTGGTGAATGATCTTAGGAACAATTTCATGCAGTGAGGGCTTGGTACCCTTGCATAGTTTCACCAAAAACAGTCAGGCAGGTGTTGAGATACTCTGGGTATTGTATTTAGATTTGGAGTAAAAAATACAAAAAAAATGTTTAATCTTTTTATTTTCAAGTCGAAAAGATAACATTGGGTAATGTATAGGTAAAGATTTTAGTACAATAATATACAGAAGTAAAGGTATTGCATAATACAGAACAATTTAGGCCGCAGGTGTACCACATGCCTGTGTGAAGGAGGGGATTTGTTTACACTGTAATTGGAACAGAAGCAGCCGTGTTTATCCTGTGCTTTCAACTGATCAGGCTTTTAGGGTACAGTGAGTGGTCACCAGGCCAGTCTGAAGGGATTAGTGTTCTGGAGGGCCTCCCCCTCTCTCTCCTATGGAGGGTAGGTATCCTCCTCACACTTTAGTGTGAGTTTCGGTTGTCAAATGCCCGTGTCATGGAGTTAGGGTCCTGAGTAGTTTGTCGTCTAGTGGTGCCTCGGGGCTCTTTCATGTTCCTATGGGGTTGCCCCCTCTCCATGGGTTGGGACGGGCTGTCCGTTCCCAATCATCATGCGTCCACATCTCGAGTGATTGTCCCCCGTGCTGTTATGAAGGAGCCGTGAATGTCGTGGCTCATATGGGTCGAGGGTTATGGCCTAGTAGTGGGGTCATTGGAAGTAGGTAGGTACAGGAAGTAGGTAGGTACAGGTCATAAGGGTAGTCTTGAGCAAGGGGAGGAGAGTGAAAGGGGCCCTGGTGTAGGGATGCGTGAGCATGCCCGGCCGCTGGACCCCTCCCACCCTGGGTGGGGTTATTGGAGGATGGGGGGGGAGGAGAAGGAAGAAAAATAAAACTGGGGAGTTGGCATGGCTGGGGGAGTACGGTGAGTAATCTGGTACTGTTGGTTCGATGAAAGGCGGTCCTGGGTGTGATTGGGTCCTGTCTGGGCCTGTATGGGTTGCTTAGGGGTTGGCTACCATGGTAGAGACTTGTCCAATACTTTGTGAAAGGATTTGGGTGTTTCGTTTATTTGTGCTGAGAGTCTGTCCATGTCTATGCTATCTTGTATTTTCCTGGTTATCGTGTTCTGTGTGGGTCTGTCTGTGGTTGACCACACCTCCCCCATTGCCCTTCAAGTGGCTAGAGCTACTCGAGCGATCAGTTTGTTTTCGGCCCTTGTGTGTGTTTCTAAGGGTTTGGATAATAGGAGGGCCCAAGGGTCCAGTGGGCAAGGTTTGGACAGAAGGCTAGTAAGGAGAGAAGTGATGGATTGCCAGGTGGGTTTTAGTTTAGGGCAGGTCCACCAGCAATGGTAGAATGTCCCCACTTCCCTCATAGATTAGTTGGCAAGCGATGCATGACAGCTGATCTTTGGGGTGTTAAGTACCAGCGGAAAAGCATTTTATATGCTTGCTCCTTATGGGTTACACAAATTGTGAGGGAGGAGATTACCATACATTGCAGCTTCGGAAACAGACCTAGGTTCCCCCGATGATGCCCCAGACTGGTCGGAAATATGGGAGGAAGAGTTATTTGTGTTAAGTGTGTTGCAATTGTAAGGTAAAGATCCGATATTTGACCTTTTCTGGTTGGGGCTGCCACGCAATCCCTTTCGAAGCTGGTTAGGTGAGCTTTGCCTGCCTGTTGGATGCTAGGTGATGCAGTGAAGCTGCATATATCTAAACTAATCTAATGTAGATATAGATGCGGAGTCAGGGATTTCACTGTATTCAATGATTCGGTCATTGAGGAACAGGTTGCCAAGTCTCGTTATCTCTCTCCTTTCGCATTGGGCGTAGTGTTTGACTGCGAACCACGGTGGGAACAGTCTGTTTAGGAGGATAGGGGTCAATGGAGATAGGTATGAGGATAGGTTCGAATTTTATATGTAATTTGTCCCACAAATCGAGGGAGTGAGTAATTGTGGGCGCTGTCGGAGGGGTAGGGGGCCGCGACTGCATTGGGAGCCACATATATAAGGAGGGGTTGTCCCATCCTAAGATAGAATGTTCAATGTCCATTCATCTTTTCTTTAAGGGTGGCAAGTGCCACATCTGTATTTTGGCTAAATGGGCTGCGCATATGTAGTGTAGTAGGTTGGGGAAACCTAGGCCTCCTGATTTTCTGGGGATGTGTAGAGTTTCCCGACGGACCCTGGGCCTGGAACAAATCCATATGAATTTGTTTATAGCAGATTGTAGGGCGGTAAGGTCTGACTTTCGGAATGGGACAGGGAGGGCCTGGAAAACGTATAAGAATCTGGGTAGGAGATTCATCTTGATGGAGGCGACCCAGCCCATCGACGAGATCTCAGAAGTTTCCCATGTGCAAATATGCACAATGGGAACTTGGATTGCAGTTGTATGAAATCAGTGTCCGTTATGTAGATCGGGAGGAGTTCAGATTTCGCCAAGTTGAGTTTGTACTCTGAGATCACGGAGTAGGAGTGTATCAGGTGTAGCAAATTGTCAATAGAGGATGTCTGGTTAATTAAGGTAAGGAGGACGTCGTCTGCACATGCAAAGACTTTGATGGGTTGTCCTCTGATGGTGATACCCTACACTGCCGGGCTGGACCATATCCACTCCAGGAGGGGTTCCAGGGAAAGAGCAAATAAAAAAAGTGTGAAAATGGGTGAAAGTGTCCAGGTTCATCATGGGGCTTATCAGGTTTTGGGAGGAGGCATATGTTAGCCGTGACCATGTCTGCTGGGAATTTGTCCTCGCGGAGCATGGCATTGAATACTGCGCATAGGTGTTTTAGTAAGTGTGTGCCACAGACTTTATAGTACAAGGCCACAAATCCATCAGGGCCTGTGCTTTTGTTGGGCTTGAATGATCGAAGGGCGATGGTCATTTCTTCTATAGTCAGTTCCTCCGCTAGGGTCTGGCTGGATTCTGTGGATAGGGTAGGGAGTTTCAGGGCGTCCAAGAAGGCCCACGTGGGGTGTTCTGTGAGGCTGTGGTATAGTAGCGTGGTTATAAAGATCATTGTATTAGGCCCGGAAAATTTTCCCTACGTGCTCTGGGAGATCACTCGCTTTTTACATCCGGTGTATGGATGTGCGAGATCTTTCGCATCAATGCAGCATTTTAGCCGTCAGGCGAGCATAGAGTCGGCTTTATTGCTCTTTTCGTAATACTGCTTGTGCCAAATAAGGGCAAAGATTCGGTCATTGAGGAACAGGTTGCCAAGTCTCGTTATCTCTCTCCTTTCGAATTGGGCGAAGTTAGGCGCTTTAGAAGGTCTCTAGCAGCTGTTAATTGGGTGAGGAGGGAGGGTCACGGGATCTTGTTTAATGTGGGATTCTAAGCGGTGGATTTGCTGTTTCTTTATGGTGGTCACAATGCTAATTAACTTCCCGCGAATCATAGTCTTATGGGCCACCCAGAGGGTTATAGGGGATGTCGTCGAGGGGGTGTTCAGTTCAAAGTATTCTGTAAGGTCTTTGGACAGTGTTTCCATTATTTCAATGTCCTGTAATAGCAAACGGTTAAGTTTCCAGGACCAAATCAGGTTGTGCATATTTATTTTTAAGGAGATGTCAGCCTGGTCAGACCAGGTGATCGAGACAATGCTGGTGGAGGTTACCTGAGAGAGGACATTCGGGGCCACTAGGAAGTGATTGATTCGGGAATACGTCTTGTGAGTGTGTGAAAAAACAATTTTGTTTTATATGCAAAATTCCACAAAACCACTCTCTACTGAAAATGATCCTGTTTCTGAAGTCCCAATTGTAGGCAAACCAGAATCATTCATCAAATATAATGTGTGTTTGGCAGACTTGTGGATCTGTAACATAGTTCTAGAATGAAGTACAGTTTGTCCTTCCTTTCCCATGTCTCTATGATTCTAACTTTTTGTCATGTTTGCTTGGTGACTGCTACAGGTATGCAAATCCCAACTGTACAATATGTAGCGGTAACCTTGGTATATATATATAAAAGAGAGAGAGAGAGAGAACATGTCAGGATAAAAATACTTGGCAACAAATTGCTGAAATAAAACTATATGGTTAAATGGAGCATATGTCAATGCCTGAATGTTTTGTTACATTTACTTAAATACCTTTGTAGGAAGATAAAATTAGAACTATCGCATCATCTATTGCACACATAGGATTTTCCCCTATTTTCTCAAGAGAGGAAGTTGAAACCAGGTGCTTGCTAGTAATTATCATGCAATGTTTCATGGGCCAGGTCCAGCTGTACTGCAACCGCCAATAGATAAGATGTAATGTACCAATGAGACCTGGTCCATTATGTTAACTTTGCATGGTCTGTTAATTATTGAACAATAATTACTGGAATATTGACCCTGAAACAAGGAAGCAGGATTATTCAGGACACTGTAAGGCTGCTTGTAAAATAAATATATGAGACTGGAGACTGTGTGATTTAAATAGTTTCTTACTTACTTTATGTCCATCAGATGTTCTGCCAGAACAATAAGGATATGATAATGTGATTTTATTTTTTTATTTATTTATTTATTTATTTATTATAGGACATTGGGCTCATCTCTCAAAAATATATATTGTATGGATTATTGTAGACAAAAACTCTGAATATAAATTATATTTATGTGGTGGGTGGGGGGCAGTAGGCAAATCTGTAATGTTAGGATATCCTCCATCACTAAATATTGATGGGGTAGAAAACTGGAATTTGACCTGATACGCTCCTTAGTAGTGGCCGGGGAAGACTTGCCTTGACAGCCACAATATTATATATAGGATCAGACACTAAGAGGGTTATTCATTAAAGTGAGAATTGTCAGGAATTCTAAATTAATTTCAAATTTAAGCTCAACATAGCCGAACTGATGAAAATCCATATCTTCCAGTTCAGCGATTTTGGCCTCAAATTAGAAATAAACTTTAAAGGATCACTATAGGGTCAGGAACACAAACATGTATTCCTGACCCTGAGTGTTAAAGCCACCATCTAGCCACTCTGGGCCCCTCATGCCTCCCTAAATATAGTAAAATCTTACTGTATTCAAACCAGAAGCTGTAGATCTGCATGCTGTTTGCCTCAAAAAAAAACAAGCCTGATCTAATCACAATGCTTCTCCATAGGATTGGCTGAGACTGACAAAGAGGCAGATCAGGGGCAGAGCCAGCATGATTCAAACACAGCCCTGGCCAATCAGCATCTCCTCATAGAGATGAATTGAATCAATGCATCTCTATGAGGAAAGTTCAGTGTCTGCATGCAGAGGGAGGAGATACTGAATGTTTGGATGCATTTTAGGCAGCTGTGACCCAGGAAGGATCTCTAACAGCCATATAAGGAGTGGTCAGTGAAGTTATCACTAGGCTGTAATGTAAACACTGCATTTTCTCTGAAAAGACAGTGACTACAGCAAAAAGCCTGAAGGTAATGATTCTACTCACCAGAACAAATTCAATAAGCTGTAGTTGTTCTGGTGACTATAGTGTCCCTTTAAATTCCCAGAAATTCTCACATTGGTAAATAACCCTTTAATGAGATTGGGGAATGAGACATTTTTTGCAGTATGAGAACATGTAATTCTTAACAATTTGATTAATTTATATTGAAGACTTGACATCTGTGTTGGTTAACATTCTGATCTGAATGTAGAAACTTTATTGATCTGTTCAGTTTATAAAATGACGCTTTCTAAAGAACAGTTATGCTAACTTTCAGGTCTGCGGGCAGAACATCTGAATTTTCTGAAGGCGGTTATGGGAACACTCCTCCTCCTTCTGCTGGGCAATTAAGTGTGGAAACCCAACCTTTAAAATCCAGTCCTACAGATGCCCCATTCAGCTCTTCTTTTAGTGAATCTTCAACCACTGGCATTACAGATGGTCTGGCACAAGGTATTTTACGGCCTGTCGCCTCAGGCCTTATTCTTTCTATGCAGACATTATAAAAAGCAATATAAATATATATGTTTCCAAATTTAAAATTAAAATGTATCATGTGAAAAAAAAATTAACCATCATTATCTTGAATAGCTCAGTGAATTAATGGAAGTTGGCAGCAATAACTACTTACTTGTCAGTTCATTTAGCATAGGTATTTTAATGCTCACAAAGGCCAGGTTGTGAGCGACCTGTGTCTATGCCTTTATAAATAGAATTTCACGAACATGAGATGGAGACAGCTAGTCTTTCCAGTCATTATCTCTTACTTCCTCTTGGTGTTATTTTCATATAATACTGTATATGTACATTTGGGCAGCCTTTCACAGATACCATGTGTACATATGCCAATTTATAGCATCATAATACTGCTGCTTGATACTATGCACCACTATTATTGTTATAATGTAAATCTGAAATAAAAATAAATACATTTAAAAAAATATATATATTTTGCAAAATAAAGTATTTCTTTAACAGCCAGTAATAGCAGTTTATGTGCATTATTAAAAAATGCCAGTCTTTGGCAACAGTTCATTGAGGGGATATATTGTTATTGTAGAAGTCCTTTGCAGTCGTTTTACTAAATATGTTGTTTGCTTAGAATGCAGCATTTTTGCTGGTTCAGTTACAATACTTTTTCAGTATGGTTTATCCATTGACACATACTGTATGACAGCATTCAGGCTAGCAAAGCATCATGGGGCATGTAGTTCTACAACATGTGAGAATCTACCTTATGTTTTTCATTGTATTCTTGTTCGATCTGTTCATCATAGAACCGGCACCTTTTGAAGAAGAAATCCCTAAACAGAGAAAATTGACATATGATGAATTAAGAAGCAAGAACCGAGAAACCTATGAGATAGCTGCATCTCAAAGAGCAGACACTCCTGTGAGACCCTCGCTGGAGAGAACCCCCAGGAAGGATGGTACAGTGATTTAAATTTTACATCCAGAAAAACAGTACTCCGTGATTATTGTATAATTTTACTTTACAACAGTTATAGCAACGCTAACCGGGTTATTCACTAAGTGTGTTTTCTTGGTAATTCAGGGTGAATTAAAAATTTTATGTCAAAATAGACAAAATTGACATCACAACTGAATTGGAGAATGGTTCCAGTTTGGCTAATTTGGCATCAATTTTGGAATTCACTTGCAGTCCTTATAATTCATACATTAGTGATTAACCCAATCTACTTTAATTCCAAGTGTTGCTTCTTTGCCAAACACAAATGCTAAAAGAAATGCTACAAGTGTGGTACCATTTGGAACTACATTTGGGTCTACATCCCTGTTTGATGCTTTTTACCAGCATTCTGGCTGTAAGAGCATTATGGGACAACATCTAGAGTACCAAAGGTTGCCTACTCCTGTGCTACAACCTGAATGGTGTATACGGGACGCCTTTTTACACTGCCTCCGTGTTACTGCTGATTAGATAAGGAAACTGCAGCTTTCCACCTTCACTGCAAAGCTCTTTTAATAAAGTGCCTCAAAGGTACTTCAGCAACATTTCGACTGTTGTAAATGAAATTAACACAAGGTTAAAAAGGGTAGTAAATTTATCATGTGACATATATGGAAGTATATTATCTATTGATCATGTAATATCATTGTGTTGATCAGGATTCATAAAAACAATAGGAGTGCCAGACCTTTTCTTATTTATTTTTTTCATATTATTGATTTAAGGGACCAGAATCTTTGGACTCTCTGGGTGATAATTTGATGAGTCTTTCCTACATTTTATTTTTATTACCACTGAGTAACCTGGAACGGAATGCCAAAATGTGTGCCACCTGCAGTGCCAGTTTATGGGATGTTTGTGGGTGACATTCTCTCATGTTACTACAGTTAGAGCTCTGTTACATGAAAATTATGACCAGAAAGTGGCTAAAGCCATCTCAATAGACTGAAAATGAAACAAGGGTCTACTTTCAGTAAGTAAAATGTGACTGATGTTGAGCACTGGAGTCCCCATGCTTTACACTAAACAAATAATCCTTTCTGGCAAGATATAAAACTGCATGTTTTTTTTTACCATTTTTCATACCTCCATAGAATGGAAACTTGGAGTTCTCCAATGAATCTTAGTGGTTATTGTGCTTGGTGTAATGCTGTAACATATTTTTGTAGCACTTTTTATTAGCGCGCTGAAATCACTATAGAATGAATACACTACCATTGCAGTCACATCAAAGTTATGCTCATTTTACAAATCCAAGCTAAATCGTTTACATTATTATTTTATTTTATTTTTAATTGCAGCTAAAACAAACAAATATGGCGACATATGGGAAGAATGAAGAAACAAAATATTCTGAAGAAATCTGCACTGTTTTTTCCTCATATATATATACTTGGATGGATCCTTTTGTATGTAAACAATTCTGACTACAAACCATGCAAATTCAGACAATTAATTTGCTTATAATTGAGCTGCACACAAATCTGACAAATCAATGTACATGGAAAGTTGCATTTATATTTTCACATATTAAAATTACTTTTCTGGAACCATATCTGCACTAATGTGTTGTATGTTTTATGAAATTATACTATACTATACTATTATTATGAACGTCACACTCTCGAGGTATAGATTTGGAATTTAATAAAAATAGAAAGAAAAAAAAAAAATTCTTGATGACCTGCCAGCAAGAGCAGATTTCAGTATTAAGTTGTCTTGTGAAAAATGTAAGGATGTCACATATTAAATTTCCTAAATAGTGTGATAGAGCAGAAACACAGGTCTGAACTGGAAAATGCTCTCACCAAAAGCATGATGACAGCGATATCCTGCCAGCGTTCACACTTGTGGCAATGCCAAGAGCTGGGCCAATATTCTGGCTGCTCTATTGTAACCACTAAGGTCACTCTTTGTAGCTACAGAGGGCACATCTGCTGTCTGTTGTTGAGGTTATATTGCCTAGGCTGTCTTAACCCTTTGCGGCCCTATGTCAGAATATATATAACAAAATATTTGACTTCTTGTGGTCCAGTGTTGGATTTACCCTGGAGAGTACCGCTTATCCTTCGTGCCGGGTGCATAGTATCAACCCTTTGTGGTCCTATCTCCTGGTTTGACATAAAACGAGACTTTTCTGGAAGCGACCACCTTCAGAATTACCATTTGCACATTATCAAAGTCTTTTTATTATTAGGCTAAAAATGTACTGTTTAAATAGACATTGATAATGCATAAATGATAATCGGCACTCCTATTTAGCTTGTTAGGTGGATTGAAAGCTTCTGGACATTTGCTGGATAAGGTGAACGTTAACTTTTTCTTTTGCTTTCCTTTGGCTGGAAAACTTCATGTTCACCTTATCCAGCAAATATTCAGAAGCTTTCAATCCACCTAACAAGCCAATGGGAAAAAAAATAAACTTACGTTTTACCTCACCTCTCAAATTTTGAGATCGTGACGGAAGCTTTGAAAATACTCCACTTCATTTTTTCTACCATCTGTCACCATTTTATTATTTTTCCTGTAAGAACGTTACCATCATTACCTGTAGTTTGCCAATTTAATTTCTTATACTTGCAGTTTTTCATTATTTTCAGTGAATGTATTTCACCAATATTTAATATACATATATGTATTAATATTTTGGGTGATAACATTTTGTATACAACGAATGTACACCCACAACTTTTCTTTCTCCATTCCTTGCCCCTCCTAGCAGTAAATACCTTCACCAAACTGTGTTTCTCCATTCCTCTTCAGAGGCTTCCACCTAACCATCCAACAACAAAAATAAACTTCATTTTCAGTAAGCATTAACCTGTCCACCCAGTTTCCTTCTTTCTTTTATAGCCTGCTCCTTCAGCTGCTTGAGATCTCACTACTCCCAGTGGCAACAATTATCTTTTAATTCTCTCTGGCCATCACCTTCAAATTCCCTTTGCTGCCTATTGTCCCAAGTCTCCATATTAACCTATACAGGGAGTGCAGAATTATTAGGCAAATTAGTATTTTGACCACATCATCCTCTTTATGCATGTTGTCTTACTCCAAGCTGTATAGGCTCGAAAGCCTACTACCAATTAAGCATATTAGGTGATGTGCATCTCTGTAATGAGAAGGGGTGTGGTCTAATGACATCAACACCCTATATCAGGTGTGCATAATTATTAGGCAACTTCCTTTCCTTTGGCAAAATGGGTCAAAAGAAGGACTTGACAGGCTCAGAAAAGTCAAAAATAGTGAGATATCTTGCAGAGGGATGCAGCACTCTTAAAATTGCAAAGCTTCTGAAGCGTGATCATCGAACAATCAAGCGTTTCATTCAAAATAGTCAACAGGGTCGCAAGAAGCGTGTGGAAAAACCAAGGCGCAAAATAACTGCCCATGAACTGAGAAAAGTCAAGCGTGCAGCTGCCACGATGCCACTTGCCACCAGTTTGGCCATATTTCAGAGCTGCAACATCACTGGAGTGCCCAAAAGCACAAGGTGTGCAATACTCAGAGACATGGCCAAGGTAAGAAAGGCTGAAAGACGACCACCACTGAACAAGGCACACAAGCTGAAACGTCAAGACTGGGCCAAGAAATATCTCAAGACTGATTTTTCTAAGGTTTTATGGACTGATGAAATGAGAGTGAGTCTTGATGGGCCAGATGGATGGGCCCGTGGCTGGATTGGTAAAGGGCAGAGAGCTCCAGTCCGACTCAGACGCCAGCAAGGTGGAGGTGGAGTACTGGTTTGGGCTGGTATCATCAAAGATGAGCTTGTGGGGCCTTTTCGGGTTGAGGATGGAGTCAAGCTCAACTCCCAGTCCTACTGCCAGTTCCTGGAAGACACCTTCTTCAAGCAGTGGTATAGGAAGAAGTCTGCATCCTTCAAGAAAAACATGATTTTCATGCAGGACAATGCTCCATCACACGCGTCCAAGTACTCCACAGCGTGGCTGGCAAGAAAGGGTATAAAAGAAGAAAATCTAATGACATGGCCTCCATATTCACCTGATCTGAACCCCATTGAGAACCTGTGGTCCATCATCAAATGTGAGATTTACAAGGAGGGAAAACAGTACACCTCTCAGAACAGTGTCTGGGAGGCTGTGGTTGCTGCTGCACGCAATGTTGATGGTGAACAGATCAAAACACTGACAGAATCCATGGATGGCAGGCTTTTGAGTGTCCTTGCAAAGAAAGGTGGCTATATTGGTCACTGATTTGTTTTTGTTTTGTTTTTGAATGTCAGAAATGTATATTTGTGAATGTTGAGATGTTATATTGGTTTCACTGGTAATAATAAATAATTGAAATGGGTATATATTTGTTTTTTGTTAAGTTGCCTAATAATTATGCACAGTAATAGTCACCTGCACACACAGATATCCCCCTAACATAGCTATAACTAAAAACAAACTAAAAACTACTTCCAAAAATATTCAGCTTTGATATTAATGAGTTTTTTGGGTTCATTGAGAACATGGTTGTTGTTCAATAATAAAATTAATCCTCAAAAATACAACTTGCCTAATAATTCTGCACTCCCTGTAGATTGTAAGCTTACGGGCTATCAAGCTAACTAATTTGTATCAAAGAACTTGAATGTCTAAAATTCAGCTTACGGACAGGGACTCCTTGTATTGGTCTGTATAAAATGTACTGTCTATATGCCCAATTATACAGCACTGCAGACATTGACTCTTTATAAATGCCAGTAATATTAATAAATAATGTGGTAGAAATGGGGACAGCCTCTGGGAACCAGAAAGAGCCCAAATCTGTTTGTCATTAGACCAGAAGACCTTGCCAGGACACTATAGGCAATATAGCCCAAACAGCTTATTGTAATTGTTATGTTGCCTGGAGTGGTCCTTTATGGCAAAATAAAGTCGTTTTTTTTTTTTTTTTTAACAGCGGTATACTCATGCATAAGAATAGACTGACATTCATATCACAGCCTACGAATTAACCATTACAAAAAGCTGGAAGGAGAAGGAACATTAAATCTAAAATAAACAGGAAAAGGGGTGAGAAAGAAAAGGGGAAGGAGGGGGAGAAATGCAGATAAAAAGCAAGTTCTCCTTCCTCTGCAAATTGCAATGGATTGCTCCAGTTTTCGGATATGTCACTGTGGGTTTGCATGTTACATATGTCACAGCAGCACACTTACAGTAATTCCAAAACTGTGAGCAGAATAAATCAAAAGCGCTACATGGAACCCAAATAAAATGATTGTAAAATAAACATATATATGTGTGTGTTTATAAATGACAGTTCTCACACTGAGAGTCGCTGCTATAAATTGATTCTTCTTGTGCTGTTATTATGTTTTGCTGTATGTGTATGGTGTATATGTACGTATAACATATTGAAGGAATGTACTAGTTCACATTAAAGCGTTGCCGAATATTTGTTGCATTGTCCATGGCTCTTGGCAAGTCCTGCAGTAAGCATACATTGGCCGAAAGCTTGAAGTAATCCTATATTACATCAATTCCTCACATGGCTGAGAGCGGAGGCAGACACAAAGGTTGAAGCAGCAGCTGCGTCTCTGTTATTAAACAGATGTATGGTTAGGACTGCAGCCAGGGGCTTCATAATTACAAGGTCAGCACGGAAGCAAGAAGGGTTCTGTAATGCTTATATTGATGGAACATTATTTGACTCTCTGCCAGCCGACATGGAAGCAGACTGGCTCATCAGAAATGGGCAGTAAACTGAAATGACTGAGTTACGTGATCAAGGAAAACACACACTTTTAACAAACCTGGCTAAATGGAGGGTTTAGGATGAGATATGTAAAGCGCACCCGTGAGACGTCTTTCTGTATTAACATGCAGACGCTTCAGGGGGCATGAGCTAAACTAGCAGCAATTTAAAAAAAAAAAAAAAATCTTAATAGTGGAAAAAAAACAACTTGCTATTTGATTACTAAATTACTATTAGTAGTAAATGCAAAAAATGCTAGTAATTATATATATGCTACAAATGATTACAAATACAATCTTCCCTATATGTATTCATCTAAAAGAGGATGAAGCTTGCATTTTTATTTTTGCATAGCTCAGTAAAAATACATCAGGAGAAAAAGGTCCAATGTTCAGGAATATTTGAGACCCTGAATTGTTGTGGTCTTTACAACAGTAGTGTCCTTGGTGTAAAAGTTAGTTACGTAACTGAAAAGAGGCTTGCGTCCAAGTTCAGCCTTCCTCACATATGTTTTTGCTGTTGATCCAAAAGAAGGCAAAAAACCTAGTCTGTAGCGCTTCCAATTTTGCAACAAACTTGGAAAAAATTCCTTCTTGACCCCAAAATGGCAGTCAGATGTCTCCTTGGACCAAGCAGCTATTACTCCACTAATTAGAAATTATATCCCTATATGTTGTGTTTTTGCAAGTATTTATACAATTGCAGTTTAAACATCCGTAATGACTCTGACAAAACCACCTCTTCAGGCAGAGAATTCCATATCCTTATTGCTCTTACTGTAAAAAATCCTTTTCTTTACCTTAGATGAAATCTCCCTTCTTCCAGCCTAAATGTGTGACCTTGTGTCCTATGTATAGCCCTGTTTATGAATAGATTTCCAGATAAAGGTTTGTACTGGCCCCAGATATACTTGTATAATATTATCATATCCCCTCTCAGGCGCCGTTTTTCCAAACTAAACCAATTTAATTTTTTTTAACCTTTCTTCATAACGAAAATGCTCCATTCCTTTTGTCAATTTTGTAGCTCATCTCTGCACTTTTTCTAGTGCCATGATATCTTTCTTTAGAACAGGTGCCCAAAATTGCACAGCATATTCAAGGTGTGGTCTTACCAGTGATTTATAAAGAGGCAAAATTATATTTTCATCCCTAGAATTTATGCCCCTATTTATACATGACAAAACCTTACTGCCCTTAGCAACTGCAGATTGACATTGCATATTGCTGCCTAATTTGTTGTCTATAACAATTCCCAAATACTTCCCGTGTGTGGTTATCCTACCAGTTCACTACCATTTAGGGTGTAAAGTGCTTGTGCATTCTTAACCCCAAAGTGCATAACTTTGTATTTCTCTACGTAAAATTGCATCTGCCATTTTAGTGCTCAGTCCCCTAATCTATCCAAATCCCTCTGCAGCAAAGCAATATCCTGCTCACATTTTATTACTTTACAAAGTTTTGTGTCATCTGCAAACACTAAAACATGGCTTTCAATGCCTATTTCAAGATCATTTATAAATATTTTAAATAGAAGCGGTCCCAAAACATAACCCTGAGGGACAACACTTACCACTTTTGTCCAGCCTGAAACTTTACGATTAATGACAACTCGTTGTACTCTATCCTTAAGCCAATGTCCTACCCAAGAACAAGAATATTCATCTAGATCAATTTCTTTTAGTTTGAAGACTAACCTATTGTGTGGAACTGTATCAAATGCCTTGGCAAAATCCAAGTAGATCACATCCACTGCAATACCCTGATTTATACTTCTACTTACTTCTATGTAGAATGCAATTAGGTTAGTTTGACATGACCTATGTTCCATAAAACCATGCTGATTATTGCTAATAACAAACTTCTTCCCAATGAATTCCTGAATATTATCCCTTAATAGCCCTTCAAATATTTTCCCAGTTACAGAAGTTAAGCTCACAGGTCTATAATTTCCAGGCAAGGATTTTGAACCCTTTTTAAATATAGGGACAACATCTGCCTTCCTCCAATCCTCCAGTACAATACCTGAAACAAAAGAATCTTGAAAAATGAAATACAGAGGTTCACTTATTTCCCCACTTAGCTCCTTAAGTACTCGCGGGTGAATATCGTCAAGCCCCGGAGCTTTATTTACATAAATTTTCTTTAATAGCTGTAGCACCTTGTCTCGAGTTATCCAATCACAAGTTATCTGCAAGTTTTTTTCAGCAATGTGCATATCTCTTGCCAAGTAACAATGGTTCCCTTTGCATTGCTAGGGTGCACTTTTAGAGTGCTGTCCGTTGCCTACAGACGGGCCTGCTACCATGCACGATTATTATTAATTATTACAATCCCCACCCCTTTGATTTCCACACATGTTTTTGGATGGGGGCAGCTGTGTAAGGTAATAATTAAAGGGACACTATAGTCACCAGGGCAACTACAGCTTATTGTAGTTGTTCTGGTGATTATAGTCCGTCCCTGCAGGCATTTTTATGTAAACACCTGCTTTTCAGAGTATTGTCAATTCTGATTATAGTGAGATCGTCAATTCTGATTATATTAATAAAGGGGGCGGATCAGGAGCGGGGCCAGCGCTGGCAGAAAAGAACAATGCTGGAATAAAGGTGAGTTTTTATCCTATTTAAGTGGGTCAAGGGAGTCCAGCAACCTAAACAGTGTTTTTATCACTATAAGGGCAGGAATACATGTTTGTATTCCTGACCCTATAGTGTTCCTTTAAAAATAAAAATATGTAAAAAATATTATATGTGCCAAGACGAGCTCTACAGAGGGACATGTCCTGGCAGGCAGATGTTTACTCTTTCCACAGGCAATGTACATCCTCCGTAAATTCCCTAAACCAGAAATGCAATTGCTTTCTTTTTCTATTTCTTTTATTTGAATTTCTAAGCACAGCCATGAGATTTTCCATGTGTTTGTTCTACATACTCCACTAGCGTAGGTGGGTAGTGCAGTGGAAAATTAAATATTTACTTTATTAAAGATTCTCAGATGTAAATGTATCTAAAGAAATCCTATTAATTACACACGCACAGAACAGAAAATGCATTGAATCTAAACAGAGAGAAGTCCCTCTAAGTGCAGTTAATGTACTGCTAAAATGGTCTGTTATTCCCACTGTCAGAAATTAATCAAAGTAAGGGACAACAGCATCTGGTATTATTGAAAGAACAAACACATGCTACTGAATGAAAAGCAAGGTTGAGGGAGGAGGTATAACCCTGAAAGTAACCCTGAAAAATGTTCATTTTCAATCACACAGGCTGCCATATGCATGCCGCCTTTGGGGATTTTGCAATATATGCAAAGAACCCCAAAACTGAAAGAGATGCTTTAAAGATGGCTGTCACCATAGGGCAAGGGTTAGCCAGGAAATACACTGAAACGTCATAGTTGTGTGTGTATATATATATATATACATTGCTAAGTATTACGCATATATTTGCACCCTCCACTAACTATTGGCAAATGAAACAAGCCCTGGCAAGTAGAAATGCACCCCTTGGTCAGTGTGCCATAGATCCTCCAGGCTTGCAGTGTCAGTCTAGTTGGTAGTGTGGAAGTTGAAATTTAGATCGTATTATCAGTAATAGTAAACAATAAAAATTATGACACATTATACTTTGTTTCAAGAATGACCTCACCTTACTGTGACGGAACTCCTGTACTCTGACTGAGTACTTCTGCCCGCTCCCCTTGCCAGGACTCTGAAGAGCTTAAACCCCAGTCGCCGAGGCTTGAGTAGCGTCTTTGGAGCTTTTCTACCCAACCAGGCTGCAGCTCTCTTTCCAGGAAGGTATCGTTCCCGTTACCTATTCCTCTGCAGCCCTACTTCCAGGCAGGTATCGTCACCTCTGCCTATGCTCTGCAGCCTTCTTCCAGGCAGGTATGCACCTCTACCTGCAATGTGATTGCTCTTGTCTTTACAAAGACACTTGCAGTTTTTAGGCCTAGCTC